TTTTGTTCTGTCCTCTTTAAATATTAACTTCTTGATTTTAAGTTTTCTGTGAAGGAGCAACCGGATTTAAAATTCTCCTACAAAGTCGTTTCCAAATGTTGCAAATGATGGCCATTTTCCTCTTTACTTTACTTTGTATAACACCTACTATTTTTAAACAACATTCGCGGTTTTAATTTTCTTGTATAGAATGTCATGCAAATCATTTTAGATTCTTTCACGAGATTTTCCAATCTATTTCTCAATAGCTATATGAGTGTTTGCAAATCTCTCTCTTTTGCTAAAAAACGTAACCTTTTGTTTTTTCCTTTTGTATACTTATCTCTGTTTTAATTATTCATTGTTAAAGAGATTTTTTAATATCTCTATGTTTTAAAAATTGTGGGGTTTTGGTTTTGTCTTTCTGAATATTAAATTCTTGATTTTAAGTGTTCTGTCTTTGAGTGACCAGATTTAATGTTTTCTTTCACAGTGTTTTCCAAATGTTTTCTTTCAGAGTAAGGAAAATTCTTACTCCTTTTTGTGCAAGACCTACTGTTTTCGAAGAACATTGGGAATTTAAATTTGCTTTGAAAGAACATTGTGCAAATTATTATAGGTTCCATCACTCAGCCTTTCCAATCTATTTCTCAATAACTTCATGAGCAATAAGTTTGGAAATTTCTCTATTTTTGCCAAAGAACATAAAGTTTTGTTTTCTCCTTTTGTATACTAATCTCTGTTTTAAAAGTTCTTTGTTAAAGAGGTTTCTCAATATCTCTCTCTATTTGAAAGAATTATGAGGCTTTCATTTTGTTCTATCTAAATATTAATGGCTTGATTTTAAGTTTCTGTCTTTGAGTGACTGGATTCGAAATTTTCATTAAAGTTGCATCCAAATGTTGCAAATTTTATGGCAAGACCTACTTTTTTCAAACATCGGGAGGTTAAATTTGCTTTCTAAGAACGTCATGAATATTATTTTAGATTCTATCACCAGTTTTTCCAATCTATTTCTCAATAGGGGTCTATGAGCAGGAAGTTTTCGAATATCTCTTTTTAACCAAATAACTTAAAGCTTTGGTTTTTCCTTTTGTATATTTGTTTCTTCTTTGAAAGTTCTTTGTTTGAGAGATCCGTAACATCTCTGTCTGTTTTAAAGAATCCTGAGACTTTTGTTTTTTCCTTTGTATATATTAACTTCTGGATTTTCAGTTTTCTATCTAAGAGTAACCAGATTGCAATTTTTCTATATATTAACAAGACCCCATTATTTCGAAACAAAATTGGGAATTTAAATATGCTTTTAAAGAAAATAATGCATATAATGATGATTATATCTCATGTTTGTCAAATTTATTCCTCGATTGCTTTATGAGCTGCAAGTTTTCAAATATCTCATAGCGATGGTAGTTTAGTTATTTATAAGTAAGATAACTAAAGTAAGATGATCCACATAGGTGTTGAGGAAGCATTGTCAGCAGTGTTTCGAATTGGCATTTGACATGGTCAATTTCTCTCACTTATAATTTTATAGATGATCAAGTGGTTTTGGGGCTTACTAAAGGAGGAGAATGTCTGAATTTGGATTGACCATTAGATGGTTCATTTGGGGAAGAGGAAGTTGATCTTGCTGGAATTGGCAACATGGGGTCTGTCCTATTGCACACTTATTTGCACAACCAAGGCTGCTAACCTCAGGCTTATCTTTGGTTTGATTGTTTTGGCAAAATTTAAGGACAAAGCAATAGTGGGGTCTAGTAACATGTAGAAGGATTCATGTCCACTGATGGTGTTTAGATTGGAGAGTTGCAAATGAGGTCTCCATGCGGTGGTCTGGAAAATGGTTTCTGATGTCTGACTGATAAGATTGATTGTAATGAGATCACTGAAAATAGAGTACGACACAACTGGTGGTGAGTGAAGGATGGTGGACAAGGACGGAATTCGATTGATATCTGGGGGAAATATGCTGTTGACCTATTATTATGACATTAGAAAGCCCTAATACTCTCTGTACTTCTTATTATTGGTTTTTTTTCCTGACCTTGCTTTGTCGTACTGTTAGGAAAATGTGGATCTATATACATTTGAATTGATAGGTATGTCGAGAAAAAAATCTTTGAAAATTTGTCATTCGTTGCTAGATTATCTTGCGATTACTACTCCATTCATTTTCCTTTTCACATCTGCTGGGTCTTTGTATAAATACAAGATTCAGTGGCTGTCTTGATCTTGTTAGTCGGTCGCAGAATGATTTGCATAATTTTTTTTTATTATTTGAGGTCAACGGCGGAATGATATTTTGGATTGGGTGATTATTGGTTGGAAATTGACTTCGGATGAATTTTATAATTCTGACGAAGTCATTTGCGGTGAGTAGACACTATAATATTAAAATGTTTAGCTTTGGAATGAGATGCCTATTGATTGAAACGCCACTTTAGGGTTGAGAAAAGCTGTGGGATGTAGGTATTATGGTCTTCAACGTGATTGTGTATGAGGTTTGGAAGAAGAAAAGTGAAAGGAATGAGGTCTTTCAGTGGTTTAACAGCTCTAAGTTATGGTAACGCAGTGGCTATTCGAAAATGCTTTGGTTCTGTTCAAAGTTTTGCTTATTTTGGCAAGAAAACTAGAAGGATAAATGATACGATCCATATGATTTTCCATAATTATTGAGGATGATGAATGGCAAATTTTTGAGAATGAATATTCATTTGAGGGGTGCGTAAAAAAAAAAAAGAATACATAGAACCAAACAATTTCTAGAGCAAGTGATTTTAATATCTTTTTTCTAGGTGTGTTGATTATATAATGATTATTATCATTTTGGGTGATTATTTCAAATTGATGATTGACATATTTCGATTGTGAAATTTTCTTTCAACTTGCAAGAGATCTTTTACTGAACACAAGTTTGTCAATTAAAGAAATATGCCAGCCAAATGCCAAATGAGAATTGCAAATCTTTTTATTATCATCAGGAGAGCTTTTTTTCTGTCACGACCAATATGTTCTTTGTAAATTGTATGAACACTTGCAGGAAGGACAAAACCACTTTTGACTTTTTTTTACAAAAATGTCAAACAATTATATTAAATTATTTTTGGATGACACCATATTTTAAATCATGTGGTTCCTTGCATTTTTAAGTCAATAGACCTCTGTCATTTTCACTTAAACTGGTTGGCTACTTTTCTGTCTTTAGCATATTTCAGAACAAAATATAGCACAGAATAATTTTGGGGCTATTTCTTAAGTTTGGTATTGAGTCATAGGTTCCCTTAAGAAATTCTGAGGTTGATGTTCTGCAAATTGGTGGACAACATTTAAGGGGGCAGACGTGATATACTGATGTTTGAGAGAAATGTAGAGTAGATGTTTGTTGGCAGTACTTATTTGTAAAACTTCTGAAGGTGAGTTGATTGCAAAATGGTTTCTGTAGTTGTGGGTGATTATTTGATGTTGATGTTGGAATGATTTTTTGAATTTTGGGCGATTGTTTGAGATGGATGTTTGGCGAATTTCAACGATGGAATTCATTTGAAGTGAATATATGCTAAGTGTCCTGATTCTAGAAAGAAATATAGAGTAGAATAATTTTGAGGGTTGACGCTTGTGCCCTTCTTTCTTAAGTTTTGATATTGAGTCATTGGTTCCCTTGTGGTGAATATACTCATGTTTCATGTTTGAGAGATATATGGAGTAGAATGATTGTTGGAGTATTGATTTCTGTAACTTTTGCAAGTGAGTTGATATAGGAATGATTTATATATATAACCTTAGGTGATTATTTTGAGCTTGACGTTGGAATGATATCTATTATTTTTGGGTGAGTATTTGAGATTGATCTATAGCGATTTCATGGATGTAACTCATTTGAGGTGACTAGATGAGCATAATAAATTTTTGGTTGATCCTAGTGCAGTGGCAGAGTTTGCACATTTTATCGGTGGGTGCAAAATAATGGAGTAAAGGGAAAAAAACGCATTGGGTAATACTGGGCAGGGAAACGGGAATACCTAAAACCTTAAATTATTGGAATGGATTTTTGTTTTAGGATTTTGTTGATTGCACTCTATGATAACACAATATTATGGTGCATTCTATAATATCATGATATCATAAAAATATCAAGAAGAATGATCGTCGGAGTATTGATATTATAAAACATTAGTTACTGTGCTGGTATAGAGTCAGAGGTTCCCTTAAAAAATTTTGTTGTTAATGTTTTGCAAATTAGTGAGGAACTTCATTAAGGGGGCAGGCGTTATAAACATATTTGTTTTTCCATTTAGTTTACCCTCTGTTGTTCCCGCTTGATCTTGCTTTGTCTCAATATAACAAGAAGGAATCTATATAAAATGGAATCAAGAGCAATTATGTGAGGAAAGAAAATTAGAGATCGAACATTTGCTATTAGTTGGCTATATTATCTTGTGATTACTGTTGCAATCATGTTTACCACTTTTGTGCGTAAGTCTCTGTTTGTAGTCCTTTGCGACTTTAGTGAGTTTTGCCGGGCGAGGTTATTAGTGTCCAGTTGGAACCAGCTGTATTGTTCCACTTGGGGGTGTAATCGAGTTGAGAACTGATAGAAAGATTGAGATAATCGAGCCTGAGTATGTTAGAATTTCAGCCCGAACTCGACTTAAATAGAAAGATTGAGATAATCGAGCTTAAACTAGATTACAATCTATACTCTCAAGCTTGACCTTAACAAAGTTGACTACCTTGGTATGTGATCTGTGCTTGTAAGCTTGATTAAACTCACGAGCTTGGTCGAGCTGTGAGTATTGGCATGCTTCAACTTGACACGATTAAATACTCAAGTAGCTCGAGTTTGAGCTCGACTTGAAACCCTACAAGTCGATCTCGAGTAATCATCAAGGCGAGCCCAAGCTACTTGCTTTGACATGGTTCACCCCTGTAACACTGAATGTGAGATGGTTATTTGATTTATTTTTTTGTCAGAATTCTAGAATGTCTTGTTTTGTAACGGTTAATATGTTCTGTTTCAGGTGGTTGTGGTTAAAGTGTCCGGAGGGAGAGGGAGAGGGCGAGAGAGTGAGAGGGAGCTCCCTTTGAGCAACTAACCTTAAAATACTTAAGTAGCTCGAGGTTGAGCTCGACTTGAAACCATATAAATCTATCTCAAGTAACCATCAAGTCGAGCCCAAGCTACTCGCTTTGACATGGTTCGACCTAGTAACACTGAATGTGAGATGGTTATTTGATTTTTTTGTCCGAATTTCTATAATTTCCTGTTCTATAACGGTCATTATGTTCTGTTTCAGGTGGTTGTGGTTAAAGCGTCCGGAGGGAGAGGGAGAGGGCAAGAGAGCGAGGGAGAGGGAAGGCGAGAGAGAGAGAGAGGGAGGGAGGGAGCTCCCTTTGAGCAACTAACCTTAAGGTGCATTTGTTTTTCAAAAAATTTCATGATGAAGTATAATATTTTTTATGAAAATCATTTTTAAGAAAAATGGTTAGTTTTCATTTATTTTATTTTTTTCTTAGCAGAAGGGGACGGTTTTTTCAATCTAAACTTGTGGTTTTCAATCCATGGAAAACATTTTTCCATAGATCAATTAATTTTTTGTCAAACGGACTCTTAATTATAGGTAGCTTATAGCTCTAAAAATATATGTTAAACCAATTTGTCTATGCAACTATATTAGTTAACTAATGTTCCTTAGTAGATTTTTCAACATTAAGTTCGACACTAGATTCTGACAAATTTTTGTTTGACCAATTTAGATTGTAGATTATCCATTTATTGATCCTGTACTTCTTTTCATGGTGCTTTGGTGACTAATGATTTGGTCATCCGTGGTCTTACGTTTCGTGAATTTTGCATGATCATTTGGGCTTTTGGCTCACATGAACGAGACATGTCACTTATATGTATTTCAGAAAAAAATTAAGAAGAACTCCGAACAATAAGCCGGACCAACCAATTCTGACTAGGCCCTCCATTAGAAAAGTTGACACATTACAGCATGTCTCATTTTTTCCACAACTAAAAGGCGCTCTCTCTCCCTCCCTCCAAATAGTCTTAAAGGCTAAAGGTTCCTCTAGCCCGTATGATGCTGAATTTGGTATCTCGATAAATTTTAACCGATGATTAAAATGTCATTTCAATTAATCAATAATAGTCCAACAACAAAAAAATTAATCAATGATGGGATTTGTTGAGACACTGAAAGATTCAGTCATGATTTAGTCAATTATTAACAAGAATCTCACTCTCCGTCTATTATCTAGCGAAATCATAGCCAAGAAAAGAGGCTTGACAGTCTCAATGGGGAAAGAAAATCCTGTTGAGCTTGACTCTAGTTCAACTTTGTGAAATGACTTGAGAGTTGTAGGATTAGTGGTAGTCAAAACTAGCGAAAGTGAAATATCACTATTTTTAATGTCATTTTATTTATTTGGTGAAACATAGGTGGGGCAATGCTCTCTTCTTTTAGAAGTAAAGTCTGCTCATGTGGGCCAACTCAAGTGAAAAGAAATGCAAGTGACTTAAAATGAGCTTAACGACAATAGAAATCTCGTGTTGAACAAAAAGACAAAAGTTTGTTTAATTCTGATTTCCACAATGAACACTAATCGTGAAAGTGTGGCTTATTGATCCTTTAGATATTCATAATTTGAAACTTATGGTCTCAGAAAAGTAACCATGTGGTAGACAAGTGTTCTTAGCAGCGTTACTTTTTTATCATTCAATGTCACATTTTCCTATAATTGTAGAGCAGAATTCACCAAGTGGTGGATTGTTCGCCCACCAATTGGGAATATGAGATGGGCGTAGATTTTTATGGATAGAAGAACACTAGAAGTATTAAGAGTTGTGTACAGCATTCGCATTTGTGGCAAAAGTTTTCATTGGATCACTTAAATGTCAAATCGGAGAAAAAATAATCATGTAAGTGCCTCCGACGAGAAATTCCGACCAAAATAAGCATGTGGCATATATAATTAAAAGTTTAATATGATGTGGCATTTTTTTTTTAAAATCAGTCCATGTGGACAAATTAAACGATTTTACACAATCTTATGTGGCTCGGTGAAGTAAAATGATGTCGCACAGAAAGGAACAAAATAGGGCTCAGGGTCACTGTCGTTCAAGCAATTCTAAGAAACAACTCCTCATCATTTACTCATCATCGTCGTCGCTCACTCGGTTATCGTCGCTTGTGTGCTATCTCTGTTGCTCTCACTTAGTCAAGTTTGTCATCTTCTCTCACTAGCTCAATTGGCTAAGAAAATTAGGACTCGGAGGCAAAAATTTGGGCTAGGAGGGACAAATTACGATTTTTTGTGTAGCCGTGGGGACAACAGTGTTAGAGGAGGAATCGCGCAACAGTAAAGTTTCCATTGTGTGGTCCATAATTTGTTTTATCAATTAGGTGTGATTGTCGAAACCTTTATGTGAAGTTGTTGTCCTGTTTGCATTGTGGTCCCAAAAGCTTTTTTTTTTCTTAGGTGCAGCGTCGGCATGGGGGGCAGTACTATAGGCATCATTGTTTTCTATGATGGGGAATATGGTATTGGCACCAATGAGTGGGAATATGTTGGTAGAAATGAAGGTACTAATTTATCTATGTAAGGAAACCATTATATATTGATTTGTGAGGAATATAATGGAAAAATTACAATGCAAAATAGAAAAAAAAAATTCATTACTGTGTACCTTGGTAGAGCTTGAAGGATCGTTTGAGCTATTTCAATGATAATAATAGTATTAAGGATATCATTACTATTATCTTCATGGTGATGAAACTAAAGTATATGTTGAGTATTACAATGATGATGAAGATGATGAAAGTACTCAAGTAGGAAAAATAGGATATGGTATTGAACGGAGTACTCAGGTTGGGGATTGATGTATTTTAGACGAAAGAGAATACGAGAGGATGGAGAGGGAGGCAAGAGATATGGCGAGTGTGTTAGAGAGAGCTCAGCAAATTGGGACATGTCCCAGAGTTTCTGGTGAAGATATAGGTGATGAATAATTTACTGGATTAAATTGGGAAGTTGCTCTATCCACTGAATTAGAGGATGAAGCTTTGTCAAATGTAAACTACCCAAGTGCTGATGATAATGAGGAACTTGCTTAGTTAAGGCAAAAGCAAAAGGAATTTCAGAGAAAAAATTTGTAGCATTTGGAAAATTGCTTGAATCTCAACTAGTAAATACGGATGAAGGAGCTCTAGCTAATGATAATGAAACCGAATATGAAGAAAGTGGCAATGATGATGAGAGTCATAGTTCAGAAAATGAGTGAAGATAGCGAATTAGCTATGCGTAAAAGGATGAGTAAGTATCTTTGCTATGATCCGACTATTGCATGTCATGTTTTATTTCTTGGTATGAAATTTGATGATGCCAAACAGTTCAAAGAAGCTATTGTCAAGTACTCAATTGCTGAACAAAGGAGTGTTGAATTGATTAAAAATACCAAGGAATTTGTGAGAGCAAAGTGTTGGTTCATGGAATATATATGGCGCACTGAGTAAAAAGAGCGGCTCATTCCAACTTAGGTCTTGTTTTATTCCGTTGTGTAAGTAAACTTCCTAATATCGGGAAAGGAAGTTGTGATGCGTTGTGACATGGTTTGCTTGGACCGTTTCTCGGTCGTTTGGTTGGTCGTAATTGGTTCAATTCCTTGATTTGACCATGTTTCATGTTTGATGTTTGTCTTGAGCTAGAATCGAGATTTGGCTGGTAAAGTGCACACGTTATAGCTATGCACGGTGTTCTCTTGTATGAACTTTGCTATTGATTTGCCATTGATGCGGGTGTGGTAATAGCCGACTTATGTTAACGATGATCCCTTCGTCCTCGCTTGATATTAGTAGGTTTACTTATTGAGTCTCCCCGACTCACTCCCGTTGTTTTTTCTCTTTTCAAGTCCGTGATATGGCATCTCCTCCAACCCAGTTCGAAAATCCTGTGGAAATGCGAGCCGAACTCCTCACTGTAATCGATGCTCGGGAGGCTCATGCGTACCGTCATATCACAACATATGTGATGGTCAACGAAGGCCGTGAAGAGTTAGTCCCTCACCCGTATGAGGTGTGGTATCGCCTAGTACACGGGGAATGGGTTGGACCCCTTGGCGGGTCCAACAGGCCATTCGGTGGGCCGGGCGGGTCAGCTCCGGGGCAAACCGAGGGTGGAGCATGAGATGGCCAAGCGGACGGGAAGCGGGGAGGAGATGTGGATGGAGTTAGAAGCGAGAAGATGAAGTAGATGGGATAAGATCACCCAAGCCGAGTTTTGCCTCCCGCTGGAGAAGCGAGAGGAACGAGAAGCTATAACGAAGCTAGGAACCCAAGCCAAGTTTTATTTGTTCGATAGTGGCTTGTGTCGGAATCGCCCTTGGAATGGGCATGTAAAATATATGCGTGGTAAGGGCCCGTAGAGAATGGCTCGATGAAATAAGCACGAATCATGTAAATATAACGTGCGTTGTTTGCTTATCTCACTCCCGTTTGTCTCGTTTACTGTTTATTTGCTTTCGCGTGCGCATTTAATTGCTTAAAATAAACGGGACGAACTAATACATTTCCGCGAGTCACGGACTCGTCCTGATCGTGTTCGGTCATAAAGCACCGTTCATGATTTAGTGACGGGGCGTGACACTTATGGTTAGGTACAAGGAAAAACATGCTCAGATTTGAGATTATGCTAGCAAGTGTGGGCTTCAAAACCTATCTAATAGAGTCTATGTAGATGTTGTGAAGATGCCGTTGCCTGGCCGTGGGACTAAATTTGATAGGATTTATGTTTACTTTATGTGTGCAAGCAGGAATTTTTGGCTAGTTGTAAAAGAGTTATAGGGTTGGATTTATGTTTTTGAATGGTTTATGCAAGAAAGAATTATTGTCTGCCATTAGGAGAGATGCCAATAACTAGATGTTCCTAATAGCTTGGGCTATTATTAGTGATAGGGTTGGATTGATGTTTTTGAAGGGTTTATGGAGTTGTTGGCTATCATTGGTAGAGATACCAATAACTAAATGTTTCTAATGGCTTGGGCTATTATCAAGGTCGAAAACAAGGATACTTGGTCCTAGTCCCTGAAGAATGTAATGTTGGACGTTGAGATCACTAATGGGGGAGGTTAGACATTTATGAGCGACCAACATAAATAAGGTAATGTTATTGTCAATTGTTGGTTATCACATATTTTAACTTACAAGTATTTTTTTAAAATTATAAAAACAAAAAAAAATTGAAAAATAATAAAATAAAAAGAAATTATAGAAAATTAATTTAAAAATCGAAAATATAATAAAATATTATTAAAAATTATCCACGTCAGCATTGGCGGTGCCATGTACGATGTTCGGTGTCTACCTCAGCGATTTCCTACCAAGATTGGCCGCATGAATTCAATTGGTAAAATATGAAAATGCTTAGGACTTAATTGACAAAAGTGCAATAAGTTTATGACTTTTTGGACAATTTTCCTGGGTAAGTGATCACTCTTGTTAATTTGTTTTTATTCGTGATAGTGATGATAAATTTGGTTTACGATCGTTTCTTTCCATTGCTCAAGATGAATCTTGAGCAATGTTCTGTTTTGCCGTGTATATGTGTGCAGTATAACCACCCTATATGTTTCCAACCAAAAAAAAAAAAAACCACCCTATATTATAACCTCAAATGCACTTGGCATTTCCTTTCAACTCCCATCAAGTGATCAAAACCATGTCACTTTGCCTTTTA